CTATATTAGTTTATCAAGACATTTTAGAAATCAATGAAACTGATTGCTAAGTGATGGTTTATTAAGAGATATGACTGATTACCTAAATACGTATTTAAAACTATTACAATCCATTAGAGAGAGGAAGATGGATTCCTGCCAGATATATATTAAAAGACAGTAATTTTTCTATTAACGTTTGATAAAAATGTTATTCTCTAGCATAATCATCTAGTTCGAAGTTGACAATTGGAGTACTAGCAATAAAGTATATTTAAACTTTTAACCATCTGGAGTAAGTTTAAAATTTTTGAATATACAAATATATATCTGTGATAAGTAAATAACATAAACCTAAATCTGTTTTTGTTGATTAACTTATAATTATTATCAGATTTTATCATTCAGTAAAGTCCAAAACATTCTACACATATAATGCTCTATAAACTTGGCTTCTAACCAGTAAATTAATGGACACAAAACGGAATATTATACACAGATGTACCGGTTCAAAATTACAAAAACAACACGGAAGTGGTAAAATAATCAAGATCCACTTGACTGAACGATTGATATATAAGGCTTTTATATATGGGATGTTCAAAAATCTAATTATATACGATTAATGAATTAGATATAACCTATACATCTTTACCGGTACACCAATTAAAAGCTCATCTCTAATTTAATTCTACTTCAGTCAGTATCACACGTCATAGTAGAGGCTGTGAGTTGGTTAGAAATAAACCTGCCGCATGCATTAAACGAAGTCCACGATCTTAACAATTGATTTACCTTATGTACTGAAAGTTGTAAGCCTAAACTATATAATTTAAACGATACAATAGCTACATTTTATATATATGTATATACTGGCTTGTTTTTGTTATCAGTCATTCAAATAAATGAAAAAAATAATAAAAATTTTATCACTAATTCAAGTTTTAATAATATCCTTATCAAATTAAGTACATATACACATCAATCATAATCAGAGTAAATGAGGCACGTTAAATTGAACAAATTCTACCTTATCTTTTGCTAAAGCACCAACTAAAGCCATAAATGCATGAGTTAAAACATCCAAATTCGGTGGAGCTGATATAATTTTATTGCTAGAATGGTCAATTTGATCACTGTAAAGTACTATATCTTTAATTCCTAAATGAGCAGCTATAAAAGCAAGTTCAGAAGTTGATTTTAAATACTGAACGATAGTCATAATCCACTCTTCAGGGAATCGACGATACACTGATCGCAAGAAGGTACATAAAAAATTTTCCGTAACAGAAAAGCCTATAAAGTAGATAAAATAGACACAAAGTATACAATACATTTGTTAATGTTTATGAATTCTATTGGATATTTAACAGTAACTATTACACAATGACATATTCAATATGAGGTAGATGAATGTATATTGGAAAAGACGGTGGTCAGTAAACGTTATGCAATCATCTACATCAGCTGATGTTTCACAGTCTTAATCTGATTTCCTACGTATAGCTTCAGAATTATACGCACGGTAGTCTTGATAAAAATGAACAATAGTTCAAAGATATTTATGACTAGAAATCTACTATCAAAGGTCGTGTTCCCAACTATGCATTTGCCAAACAAGAAGATAATCTATTGTCATACTGGATTTTAGGTTCTCCAAAAACCATCTCAGGCACTTTACAGTCTAAATATAACATTCTGCATTTTGTTTATATGAAAAATTGTATCTTTTGCCAAAAGTTACTATGAACAAGTGCTAAGACAAATGAAGAACTTACAAAGTAGAATATACTATTTTGAAAAGCATATCCATAAAGTGAACAAGGTTTTGCCTTTAGTGTCTGTTTATTACCTTCGTTTCTGAAGAGAAATCCATGCATAGAACCCGGTATTTGCGGGTAAGCATTATTTTACCTATCCATTTTAAATGCTTGAAGTTTAGCAAAGGAATATTTTGATTGCTGGTGAGTTGCGATAACTAACAACTGAGTGAAGACATAACAGATGACCAAAAAACAAGTGGATACCATCGCGGTCGCCATAGCTACCACCTTTATGTGGTAAACAGCGTCACCCATCGTGAATACTCAGTAGAATCTATATTGGCTAGAACACAAATCTCTTTATATCTTATGACGTTCAGCAGGTAGGCCGGAGCACAGTAAAACTGAAAGCGATAACATAAGGTCTGATTGCGATGGTACTGTATCAAATTCGTACTTGACTCGCCTCAAGTAGCCATCCCTTGTGCTCTGGTTACGTTCCCAAATCACTTAGACCAACTCAGATTCTTTTTCAGGTCCATCGAGGAATATTCTTCTACAGTGTGGGTGATTATGAACCATCATCATACCTCTAAAGGAACATGAGATCACTTTATTTATGATCGAAAGATATAGTCACCACTTCTCATTTCTCCTGTTCTCACGATCAACGGTTCTATTATGACTTCACCACCACGCACCACCAGTGCTAAGAATTCAATTTTATGAAGTGATTCTTTTTGCTTGATGACACTGTAAACTAAAATAAGTGTTTGTGGCGGGGTTTCGTTCTCTGAGCTGGATGTTTTGGTTGTGGAGCTTTGATTGTTCTTCTGAACAACATCATCAGCACAAACCTCAGATAGACTTGACTATGGAAGCTAACAGACCATATTGCCATCACCATCAATGAAGACAGCCGCTCATCCCGGAGATCAGTCCTAGTACGGCTAATTGGATTTAAAAAGCCACAGCAAGTAAACATATTGGAGTACAACTTAGTGATAAAAAATTCAAGAATATATTTAGGGACGGCTAAATTCAGTCAGTAATATTCATCCTGAGGCAGCTTCGAATCCATGCCGAAATGCTTTTGAAACAGTAATTAAACTACTAGTAAATCAAAACAAAAAGAGAAAAGTCGGTCGATTTTATTTGCATCTATTGAACAGACATATGCTTGGAAATTCATCTTTCCTAGTCAGTCAGTTACAACGTAGAACTTCGAACATGAGTACATTAGTTCAGACTGACAAACCCCATCAACACAGAGACGCATTAGTCAGTTCAAATCCCATGATCGTAGAGATTGTAAAAGTATTAGCAGTAATGGAGAAGATTGGAGTCCGAAGACATGATTCGAGAAGTATAATTCAGTGAGATAACTTTAGAAAGAGAAAGATAGAGATGATGAGGGATTCAGATCGAATTTTAGAGAACACAAAGAGTGGATGCAACTGCACCATTAGAAACGATGAGCCATGCCACTCAACGTCTCAAACAATCGGTGACCCCAACCAGGTAGCCTACATCTACCAATATGACTCAGTCCACTTGTCAGTGACTTCATGGATTTCTGCCATGTTTCGGCCCGTTAATCGACCTTCCTGGCATGGTAGGACCTACAAGAACATACGTTTTAGCCATGGTCACGATAGGCAAGCCCGACCAACACAAGGTAGCGGCTATGGTTGGGTTTCATCTCTACTAACTCTGAACACGATGATGAGAGGAAGTAGCTTGAACGAAGATAGATAAAAAACGTTTGCAATTATCGTGAGCAATTGTAAGTAGAGGAAACAAAAAAGATAGTAATAGCAGTACACAACTATCAAGACATATTAGGGAAACGGGTATTGGGAATCCGGCAGTAAGCGAGACTATTTAAGAAAAGGAACGGATTATTACTTACTCTCAATCTAGTATACCGAACGGACGAGCATAACACTTTAAAGTCAAGTTCAAATGGCCTAGAGCCTAACCTCAGTTAATCACCATCTACAAGAGATCTGAATGTAAATTATCACAAGTCCATCAATTCTTAGTCGGGTTTAAAAGCAAGAGTACTAGGGCTTGATGGATTTAACCCTGAGATTTTGAGGGACAGTAATCCAGCTTTAACAGTTAGACTAATTGAGACCTTAGCTGGAGTTTAGACGCAATACCACCCAACTGGTTCCGAATGCTGACCATCGATCCATTATCCTTGCTACAATCACTAATACTATTACTACCTCCGATATTCTGAATTCTGCTCTAAATTCATTTCAATTTTAATGGGTTGTAGTAACTACAACCGATCTAAATACGTACCACGTTACACGTCTCGACTGAATGAACAGAACGCCACTTTGTCTCCAATTGCTGAAACCTGCTACTACAACTTTATTAATATTTTTCCTTTTAACCATAAATTTAAGATTCAACTCAGTAGTCGATTTGGACAAACTTATTGATACTGTTCACCGATGAGTTTTATTTTCACCTCGTTTTTGTTACCACATTTTACTCACTGCAACTGAGTGAGCATCTAAATTTGATTGAGTCGCTCTCGTTTTTTGACCAGACTAAATTAAATCCAAGTGAGTTGATGTGATTCAATTATTTGCACAAATAGTAAAAATTAAGTAGCTTTTCTAAGAATCTGGATGCATGTTACAGCTTTTCTCATCAAAATATATATGAATGCGGGTTAGATCAAGACTGATCAGTATGCTATATATCGATGAGTCTTGAACTTCTTAAATTCTGTTTTTAGCATTTTAGTCTTCCTAGAAGCTCCTTCTACACACAGAATAAAGATTATCATATTAGGAATCCCAAATTCGTCAATTTCATTGCTTCATACTACTTTATTAAATATAGACAATGAAATCACACGATAAGCACATTCTGAACATACAAATCAATAAATGGAAAACTTGAGGACCCGATAAACAAAGCGAATATGAAATTGAAAAAGCTAATAGACCGAAGTACAATGCTAGGAATAAAAATTCGGCTAAGTTCTGAATCACAAAGGTTTTTAAAAAAATCTGACAAAACAAAATAAATGCAGACTGACCCTGTGACCTTTGGTGACTGAAACATGAGATGCTATTATCTTAAGAAACGTTTTATAAAGAATGCAAACATTTATGCACGGATAATAATATTTTTTAATTGAACTTTATGAAAGATTTTAGTCGGTAGGTAGGTTTTAGCCCATAAACAAACCAGATATTCTGTGAGCATTGATTTGCAAAGGTAATGTCTTACCTAAAGCAGCGAGCTCCGAATTATCTTGTACTGGTTTCTTATTTGATTCAGCTTCTTTCTCAGAAAAAAGTGAAGAATATGATCTACGATTTAGTAAACAAAAATAAGAATTTTAAATTGACAGTTCAGTAACTACCGATCAGTCAGAATGACCTCAACAAGATCTTTTTCTAATTTTTCACCGATTCTATACAAAAATGCGGATAATTCAGAGTCGCGATTCCAACATAGCCAATCTTTTCTAGGACGATAAATCTCTGGACCTTGAGCAAGTCTTCTGTTATACAAATCTCTCAGATACGGACGGATAAATCGTGGCGTTCGGCTATGACGTACACCTGATATTTTCATCATAAGTAAAGAACAGAAACATACAAGATATCAAGACAGGAAACCTGGTAAATAAGCGTGACATTAAAAATCACGCGCAATGACCTTAGATTTGAAATTGCGCCTCAGCAAGGTCATAGGAGGAGAAAATCCAAAAGTCTAACTCCAATTTCCAGTATACAGTATCGTTAACCCCTGAATCTTGTTCTTTTGATATGTTTCCAGGTATTTGGTAGTGTCTCATGAATGCGGGTCTGGTCACCCAACTGCCTAATTCAAATTAGTTGGCAGTATGTTGTTAGTTTGTTTGTCCAGCGAATTAAGTGAATAGTTTGTTTGAGGGCATTAGGGTTTATGAATAATTTAGTTTATTAATTGTTAGTGGAGATTTTGAGAGAGAACCGAATTTTAAGACAGATAAAGGAAACAGATATAATAAGCGAGGTAGATTAAGTCAGCGATCTGAAGAGATGGCAATAATAACAATTAGCATCTCCCAAGACATGTATCAGGCACAACCTGTCCGCGAGGGAAATGATAGTCGTGTTACTCATGTCTCATTTTAAAGACTTCAGTTGATTTTGATGTGGTCACCTTGGCTAACAGAGCATCCCCAATTAGCAGCGACTCTTCATAAGAAAAGATGTGCACGAACTTAAATGATAGCTATTCGAAGCACAATTTTTTGATTATCACCTCGCGGAGATTGGTGGAGATGTTTCTATTAGTTTCTAAAGCTATGTTAGGCATGCTTAATATATTATGCACCCTGATCAGGTCACCTATGATCCCCCTGTAACTTGGAGGAAATAATCCCAACTGCAGGAGTCTATCTTGGGTGCTGATCACTTTGAAATTCCTCAACAGATTAAACCAGACTATTATCCATTGCGTAACGATGTTTAACATAATAACAGAGAAAAACTGCACTAGCTTCTGAAGGTTTAGATAACTTAACATGCCTAATACAGTAGCATTTTGCGATTTTCTTCATATAATATTGATGATATAGCTTCCCATATAATAATATTTTACTGTGTTCATTGAAAATGCGACAGTGGTTTCTTTCGTTCATTAAATCTCAAACATCACTTGGTGTGCAACATAAGTTATCAAACTTTTTATCATGTATCCCACTTCATTTAACTGTTAGCCATAGCTATTTCATTGTATCATAGCACCTTATCGATAGTCAGAATAAAACTATCTCGGAGATGCTTTTTTCGAAGTATTCATCTGTCAGCAGAGAGTCAAGTAGGTTGAAATCAGTGAATCTTTTTCAACAGCTTTAAATACATTTTTTGAGAAAAGGCTGATTACTTCATAAATGTGAGATCTAAACTGACTAGCTGTCGTGAGTAGTGCACAGCCGGAATAGTTATATCTGGTCTATTACGAATAATTGATTGAGCACTTTCAGCTATATTTGAGTTCCATAAAATTAGCGAGGTCAGCTTTTACATCGGATACTAGTGTACTTTTTTCAGAATTATCCATTATTGCAGATTTTTTAGTTAACAAGGTTTTTTTGCGGTCTTTTTGTCGAACTAAGTGTCTCAAGCTTGATGACCTTAATCACATGAATAACAAATCCGGAATATTTTCTTCGCTAGACGAAGCATTATTTATCTCAAATTCTATGGTTATTCGTAGTGAGAATCGTGGCAAATTCCTCTATATGGAATGTCCTTGTAGTAAGACAGTGCGATGTATGTCTCGCCTATTGACCTATTCTTACCTTCCATGGAGAAACAAGGGAAAACTATAAGTCGAAAATGTTATCAGTTTGCGCGCATAAACTGAAGTGCCAGCAGTAGTAATAAAATATTAATAGTTTTATTAACATACTGACAATCTTGAGTTCTCTAAATATAACCTTTGAGTCCAGTATACGTTTCGCATTATGTGTCTGAGAACTCAGGAGTTCACAACTGCATATCTGATTACTAGCAGTTGACCACTGGTATTTCGCTCGCATTATTGATCTATAATGCCTGTCACCTCAACATATGGCCTCAGTGAACTGTATCGATCAACATGAAATTACGTGTAGTACATCCTCTGTTTCTCTTAAGATAGAGCGGGATTAAAATTGATACTTAGATGTCTATTTTTCAGGAATCTCTGTCAGATTTATAAATGAGTTTCCTGAATTTTCAACAAGGGATTAATAAATGTCGAAAATCAAATGTGTATTTTTCATATTACTGAGTTAGATAGAGTAAAGTGGAATATATTGCTTCAGACCAGCAATCGCGATTAATGCAGTGGTGAATGGCATGCTAAATGTAATAGTTTCACAAACATTTAAGATTGATATCAATCGTGCTAGCACTAAACAACATTCGTAAACCAAAGCTATTTGTTAAGCACTAGCATTAAAAAATAGCGCAACCAAACCAGACATATTGACGGTTCTTGAGTCCGATATTATTCTCAAGTGAAATACACTTTTCTTGCAAGCTGCTGTCATTATCTTTCTTATTTTTGACACTGAAGGAACTGTTAAAAATACTTCACACAACTTTACTGCGCCAGTGTATTGTTATCAGCAACTACCTCATTTTTAACAGTGGTGAGATCCTATGAAAAGTCTATGATCGCTTTTGAAGGTTCTTTAGAATTAACTAGCAATTAGATATACGACCAAGTTTCTATTCCCTACCAAACTCTTTGCAAAAATATGTTTTTTCAAGCAGAACCACGAGATACACAAAAACTGAGTCAGATTTTATTTGATCTACTTTATAGTTCGTAGCATTATATATATTTGCATCGATTGTACTGAGAGATCAAGACAAGACCTAATGTGATTGAAAATATATGTGAATTCGTACATTTCTTGTTAAACGCCTCACATAGACCAAAAAACAACACTTGATTTCTCACTGGCAAGCGAAATCCAGAATAATTATTGCTTGCATTGACGTACATCCTGTAATGACTCATTTGAAACTTGTGTTATTGCTATAACCGTCACGAAACATAATCTTCAACACCAGTTCACTTACCCTTAAATTTGTAATCTTCTAGGTTTCTGTGACTGCATGTTTCATGCAATCGCTGACGAAGGATGTGCTTTTTGCAAGTCAGGTAACCTAATCAATTTTTCAAAGTCTAAATTCTAGTTGTTGTCAATTACACAACAATTTATTACTCATTGGCCAAGCCACTCACATGCCTTCCCCCGAAATATTCAGTTATTCCCATAAAATCAACAGTGACTGCCGATCCATTCATATATTACAAAAAAGTAAAAGTAAATTCTTCAACCCCATACAGCAGAACACTACACTACCATTCTATCTCTAATATGCTCAATGATCTCATAAACGCACTCAGTTTGTAGTCTTTGCTTCTGATAAACATCGCGTGAAAGTTCATAGAGATGGCCAATTTTCCAGATTTATATACACATATGAATTGGTAGCTTAATAACGGTTTTATTGAACTTCTAGTATCTCTCGATGTCTAAATAGTTCATGTACAATCAATTTCTTTGCATTTTATTGAGGAAAAATTACAAATTGTGAATTGTTGCCATGACCTAAAGTCACAGATACCATTGAAAACACCAGATAAAATTACTACACCGTTTGACGCAGAAAAATTGTATAATTTAAGGAATGTAGAAAATAAAATATATCCAATTAATTGACATGTGTCGCAAAGATAAAATGAAACAAACAGTAATTAATTCGAATATTAAAAAGAAGAGATAATCAAACTTTTCCACTCGAAAGACGATGTTTTAACGTATAAATAAACATTGGCTACTAAGTTCAAGTCTCAATGCCTTAATCAGCAACAAACTCAAATGACATAGAACCGAAATCACTGAGGAATTTGTTAATTTTCACCATTTTAAAAATAATTTTTAGTGTACATACATATCAAATTGGGACCGATAGACAAAGTTTTTAATTCTTAATCACTTCATCAATTTAGAAAAGAAACAATTGTTCAACACTTTTCAGTGGATATTCGAAAAATAAAAAAAATCAAAAGTAAGTAAGTTTATGCATCGATTAGCATTGGTAAATAATGAAAAATGATATAGTTCGTACAACGTTCTGTAATAATCTTGATGAAACAACGGTCTACAAAATTGTAATGATAAATACAACAAAAACTAAGTGCATCATATCTCATGTAAAAAGATGGATTATATTTGTTAGTGAAGTTTTACATTTTAATTTGTAATGATACACATAAAAGTAATATCTTTGATTATTGTAATTTTAAGGAGAGATGATACAGTTTTATTTATTATGTTTGCCAAAGTAAAAACGCCCATTTGTCTACTCTAAAACTAACCAGTGATCCAGGTAATGTAGCTAAATGACTACCATATGATTCAGTGCCCACAATGGAATGCCATAATTTACCAAAATGTTGGTCTAATGCTTCTTTCATTAATTTAGCCAATAAATCACGATCTGTTGTTTTGGTTAATGATTCACGTGCTAAATTTGTAATCCAATTTAATTTTTCGTTTGATAATCCCATAGGTAGATTTTTGTTATCATTATCATTACCATTATTGTCGATTTGCATATATTCAATTTCCATAAAATTTATATGACGATTAGATCCCAGGCTATATGTATAAAGTGAATTTGTGTCATGTAAATCTAATGTGCTCAAAGAAGGTATCGACTTAGCATAACCTAAATGTCGATGTGGTTGCTGATGATAATGATGATGATGATTATGATTATGGTGACCAGAGTGTAGAAACAATTTTGAACCACTCAATGATTTATATTTCCGACTTGAATCTAACTGACATATATGATCTAATGACGAGGAACAACTTACTCCACGCAGCCTTCGACTACAATACATATCGGCACGATGTAATGATCGTGAATCACTATTGTAATGATTTGAATGATAAATATTTTCATTACATTTTGAACAGGTAGCATTATGACATTTTTGACAAACACCGGAATCATGTGAAATATGGGAACATAGTCGATTTAGTGAAGAATGTGCCTTTTCGTATTGACTTTTACGTTCACTCTGTCGCGAACGAGTTTTATATCTATTATGAGTTCTAGCAATACTACTTGGTAAAAACAATCGATTCTGTTTTAATTCTGATAAGCTTACATTTGTATTTGGAGAACTTAAATAAGATTGTGCATTTTGATTTTTGTCAAGAAATTCATCAGTTGAAATCACTACATTCTTGTCTAAATCAGATGATTGAGCAGGTCCTGGTGCTATCACATGTAAACGACTAATTACACGCTTTTCATTGCTATTGTTGTTTGGATCACATATAATTGAGCTTTGAACTGATGTCATGGGTTTTCGGTGTCTGTCATTTTTTGCTTTCTCTAAAAATTCTCCTGCCTTTGGTGATAGAGATTGTTCGCTGCTTCGAGTACCACTAACATATTCATCATGTTGATGATATTGTTGACGACGTCGATGTTGATGATGACGTTCTCGATGTCTACGACTTGTGTGATGTTCTGTATGATGCCTTTTATGTACTACATTTGTTTTGTAATATTTATGTTCTGTTTTAGAAGTATACTGGTTTTTTCTATAAGCATTCAAATCAAGTTCATTATCTGCATTAAGAATATTGTTATCAAAAAATATTTCATTATCATGCTTAGTGAATTCGTTATCATTATTGTCAGAAATATTGAATTTTTTAATAACTTTTACAACACGTTCAGTGCCAGGTAGAAGAAAAATTTTCTCAGATTTATCTGTATCAATTTGAATTTTATCAAGTTGATTATCACTATTATTTTGTAAATCTGATTCTAATTTTGGGCTAATTGTCAAACGTAGAGTGGATGGTGACTGTGCTACAGCATCAGAACTACGTTCATTTAACGAACCGACAGATTCAGAATGTGATAACGTTGCCGATGTTAATGTTTGACTTTCCATTGAATGATATTTTAGCTTGTGTGAATTTAGGCTTTATCCATTGAATAGTTTACTGTAAAATAAACAAATAACAGGTATAAAATATAAGTTTATTGAAAAATAATCCTCTCAAAAAGATAGTATGTTATAGAAAAAGGCTTAATCGGAACTAATTATTTACAATAAATTGTTGATGATCAATTGAGAAATATACAAAATAACACATGTCTTCATATTTGTAAAAGCCTACCATTAACACAACACACAGTTACCTTCAGTTACACTTGATCAATAGTGGTCATTTAGTAGATAGAAATAAATAATCTAAATAGTTTATCATATACCTACCTTAATGTTGTTTGATCTCATCTCTTACATATCACAGAAGCTGTAGGAAATAAAGCTGGCCACCCGTCTTTTGATTCACTATTACTATTTCCTGGATCTAATTAACCCTAGTAAACTACCAAGTTTCTGAATGAATCTCATCTACAATATTGGTTCAAGTTTAATTTATTCTTAACACAACTATTACGATTTTACATTGTTCCAATTTACAATACAGGGATTTTTTATATTTTAAAACATTACATCCTCATTATGTAATTTGAATTTAGTAAGAAGAATCTGGCAAAAATAAACTGTTTGGTGAAATTTTATCTGAAGTTGCTCCTTAAACAGTATTTGTATTGATAATAATAATAATAAATTTTCTGGCTTTCGTTATAACTTTAGATCGACGTATTTCAACAGAAATGTAAAGATTCCAAAATAATTTTTGTCAGTACTTAAACTACTTATATCTAATATTATGTAGGTCATGTAGAAATATCGGAATATATGTAGTTCACTTGTTAAGGTGGATAAGCAAAGAACTGAAGAGGATAGTAACTTCTTAAAATTACTATCTCAGTGAATTTAAAAGTAATAATTTTCTCATTGATATTTATTTAATCTCCCTCTCTCTTACTACAGCATAACTACAATACTGATAACACTTAAACAAGCTTAGCACAATCATCCTCATATAGTTAAGCATTTTAATAGGTAGATCTTTCAAACAGTGAACATAGAACAGCTTACTAAGATATCGAAATAAACTAAAAATCACATCGGTGAAATATGATAAGCTTAAAGGCCTTGACATACATAATATTGCTTATTACTCATTGATTAATTCAGACAGGTCCCTTGATCATATACACAGGTTAGTGCCATTACAAAATAATGTGTTTAAAACTAGTATAACAGAAAGCTTCCCAAATGCATAGTTGGCATCAGATTTACAGTGAAATCTTTAGGTGCAAACATTAAACTATTAATTTATTATCATCTATTTTTCTCATTCTACAGATGACAAAACAAAACCTATTGCAATTCGCAATCACCTAATCTTAAGATAATTACAACCTAAAATAACAAAGGATTTATTCAATGATTTACACTTCATGTTAACAAGGTGAAAGTAAAGTAACAAGATGCATAGAACAGGAGTGGCAAAAAAATCATATTGATAATAATGATAGTAAGCATTTGAATATAGGCAAGCAGATAACATTTATAATGGTTTGCGTACCCTTGCTTTCCAGGCTAAGGGCTATAATTGATCTATTTCGGACGGTATAAATGAATCCTGTGAGGATTGAATCGTTCTAGTCATTTTGACAAATAAACAATATACAAGTATTACATGAGCAACATACATACAAATATATGTAATCATTTCAAGGGTTTACAATTCTTCGAGTATTTTATTTGAATAAATTAAAATCCATTGTAAGAAAGACCTTCAAAAGATACTCCGTTGGTTCTTTCAGTAATATTGTTTGTAGTAAAACGTTTTTCCAACAGATAATAGAATAACTTATTTACGTTGTTTCTGCTAGAGTAAGTCTACAGGTCCATAAATACAATATAGACATAACGCTTAGTTATGCTCATTTAATGGCGCTCAACCTACAAATGGTTTTGAATTTCTGATAACTGATATTCATTAACTTAAAGGTAAATTCGTATTACTTCGAAATTCACACCTACACTTAAGTCAGCCTAAAGATTTCAACGCTTTCTTTCATAATTCTAAGAGTGAGAAGAAGCGTTTGTAGTGGAAATCACGAAGTGATCTCAGCTACACCACTATTGCATCGTAGTCTGAGACTCCTCAACAGTGTGTATCCACAACCTCTGCATGTTGGGATCTATTCCGAGGCTTGTGATCTCCAGCGCGAATTCTTAACCTTCAAGACAACTGGGTCGGCATACAATAGTACTGTGAAACTTTTATCCGTTGCCTGAACTGGATAACTTTCTCTTATTCGACACGAGTTGAACTGAATTATTCACGACTTCTCATGCATGGATTGATTGAAGTTAGACGTTAACACCATTGGATCTATAGACTGAACGTTCGATCACTAGATCGAAGGTCCTAGGTTCCATTGCTGCGCGTGCAGGTCGTGCATGCACATCGCTAAGGAGTTCCAGAATAGGCAAAAACGGCCATCCAGTGCTTCCAGGTTTCTAATGGTGGTCTATCTTAGATCGGTTCATGATATCAACTATGGAAATAAGGCAATCTCCACAAATCTCCTTCATTAATAATAAGAAAATCTTAGTCTGTTGTTATGACTTGCGCACGTATCACAATCAACAACTTAAAAGAAAACTGTGAACTGTTCAGTAGAATGTAAAATTGTTTTCTTTTTAAAGATGATTTATGTAGTACAAATTCCAACAAATAACAAACAAAAAACAAAACCTTTTTTTAAGGTGATTAAAAATAATAAGAATTTATTGTTATTACTGAAATTAGAAGTACAGGTTTATTTATCTTGTACCAGAAACCAAGCATTCTATGTAATATTTTGATGATGAGAATTATACTACTAACCAACTACGTAAAGTCAATGAAAGAAACTTACTGTGGAATATAAAAGCTAAATTTATGTTAAGCTTTTTTATTGATCATATATCGTCTATAAAGTAACACTAATTTAGATGTTATTGTGTTTTATATCAAGATTGTAATATAATTAAAGATAATATTAGTAATACAAAGAAGATTTAACTTGGGTAATAATAAAACAAGTGTTTATAATCGGAAACAAAAAGAAGACTGATCTTAACATGATAACAATTATTTTTAAAATAAAATCAATTACCACTGTATTAATGGTATTCACAGTATCTCAGGAAAACTTGATTAAAATTAAAATAACCAATAGAAAATATAAACTAATTGTAAGTGATGTAAACTGGTTACAGTTCTAGAGAGTTGATTTGACATCTTACAAAAAACCTCATCTAAATCATAATAATATTAGTTATGTTTCGAAGCAACTGAGGCCAATGTTTACCGAGGTAACAATAGGCAACATATTTCTAAAAGATGTACTTAATGTCGAATTCTCATGTTACTTTTAATAGGTTAATCAAGCAATTTTAATTAGATTTTGTGATACATTTCTAAAAATCGATTATTAAGTAAGATAATTTAAAATATCGTTAGTTCATTTGATGAGATTATTTTCATGTTTCATAAACTTTTTATCAAGTTGATAGTTCACTTAATTGCATTACGGGGTTGTGAAGATAGTTAAGTTACACATTCTCGAAACCATGAATCGATCAATGTTAGACCACCATTAGAAACCTGGAAGCACTGGACGGCTGTTCGTCCTGTTATGGGACTCCTCAGCAGTGCGCATCCACGACTCCTGCACCCCGCAGCATTCGAACCCAGGACCTTCGGTATTGTAAGCGGACGACTTAATGGCGATTTAACATTGATCGATCCATGGTTTCAAAAATGTGTAGTTCACTTATTAACTTACCTTAATACAATATTCTAATCTAATTAAAAATGTAACTGGATATTTCAAATTTGTATGTCAGATGAAATTTATATACACCTACGGGTTAGTTGTCGTGCACTTCTGAGGAATCCTCATACAAGTAAGAACAACTGTCCAGTGCTTCCAAATGTTTAATAGTAGTCTAATATTGAGTGGTCCATGATCTCGCTGAAACACAATAATCTCCAAAACCCTTTATTGATAGTTAAGAGGTGATTTGACAAAATGCGTAAAAATTCCTTTTAAATTATCTAATCCATCAAGTTCAAATTACAATTAAAGTCTATGACTCAGTCAAATTTCTCAAATGAATCATCAATAGTACGAAATATAAATTACTCAGAAAAGTACTACTACTTAGAAGAATAAATTATTATTGTTATTACTATTAATAGTAAAAACAATATAATTTTAGTATTCTAATTTGTATAAAAATAAAAATAAAAATTTTCTGACATTTCATGATGACTTAATTAAGGCCAATTCTTTAAAGAATAAATAAATTAATTAAATGAATTGAAATTTAAAAAGTACAAAAGAATAAAACAAAACTATGTGGTACAATTAATTTGCGTGTTAAAAGTGTGATAAAAATGTGACATTTATATTATGAAAGAATAGAATAGAATAGAGTTGAATTTGTATGTATGATCATAATGTAAACTGTGAGTATAATCATACACGGTAGCTTGGACAAACTGTTCAAGTCGGATGGATAGTCAGACCTTTCTTATTGAGGCGAGTAAATAGCGTTGATATTTTTAATATTGATTGATGATTATTGAAGATGGCATGTACTGTTATTGTTGATTGAATACGGAGTCTCTCAAGTTCTACAGGATTATAGGTGACATTATTTTGTGTACCTCATATGTTCTTTGATTCGAGTCAAGATTACATATTTTTCATTGTTTCAGCCCACACAAATACACAAACATATGAATCACCTTGACCGGAATGACATGATATTGACTTGGTTAGACTTGTTTTTCTAATTGATCAGTTGTACTATTTAAATTTTACTTCGTATTTTTTTTCGGTACTGTTGAAACTCCAGTTAATTTAATTCGTTTATTTTTTCTCTAAAGTATTAGCCGAAACTTAGTCAAGAAAGGTCAGAAATTTTTTTTACTTTTGAACAATTATATTATTGTTATTTTTATTTTTCCATCCAACGCCTAAACCTCACTAATCACACTTATATGTTAACTGTTATTTC